TGAATATCCATTTCATTTTTGGTTCGATTCTTTACAATTGATATTCTAATCATAGATTCGTTACATTTATAATGTTTAAAATACACGAAGACCCGCTTAGGAAGTATAGTCATAACTTACTTACCAAGATGCAATAGTTGAAATAAATTTTTTCAAAACACTTCAACAAAAATAATTTTCAGCTTGGTTGAATGTTCTGGGTGTGGGTGTGGGTGTGTGGGTGTCGGGTGTGAGGATGGGGGTGTAGGTGTAGGTGTGGGTGTGGACAGTAATTAAGAATAAATCCCCACCTATACGCACACCCACACTCTCGTTTTGACTGGTCGGAACTTGACCAATGCATCAGACTATAACTCGTTGAATGCAACGCCTCACATACTATCTTCGTTTCAGTTTAAAGTCTGTTTTGATAAAAAGATTGAACATACAAGAAAACATACCGATACCCATCAATCAAATAGTCAAGACGTCCTTTCTCGACTACAAATGATTTCGCACTAATTATATTTAACTCAATATTGAGAAAAAGACTAGACAGGATATACTGTCCCCGACTAGGAAAATAACTAGTCTTGTCACCCGTCTTTTACTCGGCTAGAGAATCGTTAATTATGAGCGACTTCTATTCTCTCGACTCACTACGATTTCATGACATTTCTGAACCAAGGACTTATTTACAATACCAACTAATTATTTTTATACTTGTCTATTGGTAGTTTTAGCACACTGTGCTACAAAATACTTTCGCATTATACCTCAAAAGGAAAAAAAACACATACTAAACAGGATCAATATTCATTACTACCTCAAAAGTGATCTGCTTCTGTTTGTGCGAAATTAACATACTTTACCTTTCAAACAGGTGAATCGTATAGAATGTCTTCCTTTTCAGTTTTCGCTGTCGAGCGTTATATATACGATAACTCTTTAATGGGTTTTTTTTCATTTAAACAGATAAAGAGACGTGTATACTGGAAAAAGGCTTTTGTGTTTGCACACTCGAGAAAAGAAAAAGATAACTTCGATTTTATGCGACGAACATACACAGTTGATTTCTATGTGGCGAAGAAAAACTCGTGCGACACTTGAAAGAAAGTTAAATGGAAGGATGTGGGTGTGGATGTGGCCATTCTTTGATTACACATCCACACCCTTCTAATAGTGATATAGAAAAAGATGATAATAGTAACAGATGGATACGTTTCAATTCTTTTTCGTATCACTATGAAAAGATATGTCTAGTCTATTTTGGTATTCATCTTTTTATTGTTTTTGTCTATTGTTCATTTATATTTATATTCTAATGCGTATCTGATTTATATACGCTTTTAGGTCTGATGAAATTATTTTTCAAGAACGTAATATCAAAAATTCATTTTTCCATCCTGAAAAACTAAAATAAAGGAAGAGAACTATCATAATATGTCAAACTCTTCATCAACCTTCCTGTCGAGACTACAATAATAAAATCTTCCATAATTAATCATGAGATCAAAGAACTTGTTAAATGTACATATCGTTATATGGAACGTAAGTAGATGAATGACAAAATCAAAGGCAAGTTCCTATAGAATATTCTACTTTCCTTATATACTTACAAAATATAAACATGAGACTAGTTTTTTAGATTCCTCAGATGGATATAGCATATTTTATCAAAGTTTTTCATCAAATAAATAAGTTCAATATGAGATATTATACAGTAAGATATTATAGCTTTGCGATGACAATGTTATTAGGTATGCCACGGGCAAGTGATGAAAGATGAAAAAGAAAACAAATGGCATTCGACCGTTAAAAATAATTATTTACATTTATAATGATATAATGATATGGATTTTGCATATAAGTAAATTACTAATAAGTAAAGCAACGATATAGAAAATACGAAATAAATCAACCGTTGATCTATTTTTAATCTTACTAAATAAAGTAAAATGTTTTATTATAATTTTTTTTCCTTAATTTTAATACAAGTGAAAAGAAAAATATGATAACAAATGACAATAGAGGAGTCAGATGTTCTTTTGTTTGTTGAATTTTCGGACGTACAGAGTCCATCATCGGAACATAATTGTATTTCAATTTCATGTGATGTTGTACCATTGTTTGAGTTGTATAACACGTACGACAAATGATAAATAATAGTAATAATTTTAATAATAATCTTTTGTTAACATAATTTGTATTGCAACATCACATGAAATTGCAATACAATTATGTTCCGATGATGGACTCTGTACGTCCGAAAATTCAACAAACAAAAGAACATCTGACTCCTCTATTGTCATTTGTTATCATATTTTTCTTTTCACTTGTATTAAAATTAAGGAAAAAAAAAATTATAATAAAACATTTTACTTTATTTAGTAAGATTAAAAATAGATCAATGGTTGATTTATTTCGTATTTTCTATATCGTTGCTTTACTTATTGGTAATTTACTAATAATTATTTAGTTTTTGGCGAAACATATAAGTAATATGAATAGCGTAGATTAACAAGATCTGGTAGTAAAGAATCATAATATCTTTGATCTAGACTATAATTTGAATGAAATCTATTTTGTTGGGACGTGGGTGCGCGTGTGAGTGTGCGGTGTGGATGTGGCTGCGAGAGTATAGAAGACCCACCCACACCCACATCCTGTTGTTAAATGAGGAAATAAACGACATACATCGGAAAAAAGTCGTTTTATGTTTGTTAATTTGTAATCAAATAATACGAGAGACGCCGAATCTCAAACAGTGGAGAAATTATAACACGAAATAGACGAAGAGTGTAGGTACATTGAATATCAATAGACGAAAGATGTGCCATTTGTACAATTAATTGTGCAAATTCTTGAAGATTATCATCACTTGACAATAGTTGAAAATATTCGACTATTCTAAAATTGATATTATTTCAAATTTTATTTGAAATATCTTTTGTTAATTTTCCTTTCAATGAGAGACGTTTAATATGAGAAAAACAAGGTTGTCGACCATCTTTTGATATACAGAAATTTCATAAAAATGATCTGATTTTATTAAATTAATTTTCAATTCTGTAATATTTGAGTAAAGAAATTCAGAATTAATCATTATATTAAATGAATATAAATTAGAATTGGTAAAAATTTTGATAGAAAATTTTTTTACTGTAATACAAGAATTTTCGTCATCAATATATTCTGTAAACCATTGTTTTTTTATTTAACCATCATGATGATCGAAATGTATTCAAACAATTCTCAATTTCATTATTTAATTGTTTTCTAACAGGAAGTTATAAATAAAATTTTTTCAAATATGTTAATTTTGTTGACAAAAATAATTTCCAGTTATTTCCATTGAATAAATGACTATTTATTGAAGTTTGTTTACTAAAAATTGATGTCAAATATTTAAATTGAGACATTATTAATAAGATAAATTTTATTTTACTAAATTTGACATTGTTCCTTCCTGCAAAGAAAATCAATAATCAGAAAATTTGATGAAAAATAAATAAGTTAAACAAAATTGTTCTGTATTAGAATATAAATATATAATTCCATGCAGAGAGCTCGTTTAAACTCGAGTTTGGGCATAGAAATCCAGTTTTTATCCAGGTCGGATTCAAAACAAAACCGTGGGTCTGCAGTTCCTTGCAGATCTCGAAATGAACTGGGCCGGGTCAGTGGCCCAACCTGGTCCTAAGCGACTCAGATATCGTTTAAATCCGCCGGTACAGCCCGGTCCGTTGAGTTTTCCAAATCCATCTGGTCTGGTGCCTCCCAACCCAAGAGAAAAACTTCATTGGGCCACTGGCGCGGCCCAGTCCATTTCGAGGCTTGGTTTCTTGTTTCATGTGATTCAAACCGGACATAAACTGACGATAAATAATCGATAGATCGATCGATATAATGTGGGTTATATCGGAGGTAGTTTGACACTTCAACAGTAGGCCATTCTCTGACCGCCATTCTATCGCGATAGAGCAAACAAACATGCAACATCAAATCTTCAATTTTTAATTGGCTCATATAATGAAAAAAAACTTGCTTAGCTACTTTAATATTCCTACAAAATGGTGAATCTATATCGAGAATATTTTTAATACAAAATACTTAATCTTGTAAATTTAAATTAAATTGAATTAATCGTTTCCATTGATATTTATTGTATAATGAACAAAATATATCGATATCATTTAATTGACATTGAATACCAACACCCAGAGATTTTAATTGATTTGAATTAAAATAAATAAAATAATTAAGATCATTAATCGAATCAAAAAACATATGTAAAAATGTTAAATATTTCGGTATAATATTAAATAATTTCCAAAATGTTATGGTTGAACATCCAATAAGACGAGAAAGATTTTCAAATGAATAATTTGCTTGATTTTTAAATAAACGATTATCATTATTATCAAAGCGAAATAAGATTATTAAAATTTATATTTAAATTCATCCATCTTTCTAAAATTTCATCATATGAAATTGTTTCATTAAGCCAAAGAGAACGAAGACGAATTAATGACTGTTGATTAATTGTATTAATCAAATATCGATTCATTAAATTATATATATTTTCTAAAAAAAAACGAACAAAAGATTCTAAAGTCAGATGGGATAAATATATAGTAAAAATCAATCATCTTGTTTAAAACTGATGTTAAAAAAAACACTTTCTTCACAAAGCATATAGAGAAATCCTTTCTCGATCAATCTGTGAAATGAATTTTCTCTACATTGAGTAAATTGGTAATCTCAGCCAGTTTAAGCTTGACGCGAAAAAAAAACATTTCTAAGCGTTCTATTCGATTGTTTGTGGAAATTTTTTTCACAATTGGATACATGAAAATTTTGTCTATCGCACCAAAATATTTAAAACACTTGTATCCAAAATCCTGATTTTCAAGAAGGTTTTTTCGAAGAAGTTTATTTTAAAAAAATTTTCCAAATTTATTCCACATAGGATAGATATGTAATCGTGCTGATATAACTAGAGTAAATCCTTAATTCTTATTTTATTTTACTAATATCAAAAAAAAAACTAAATTTTTTTGATGGAAATATTTTTCAAAAAGAACAACATATTCTCAATCAGCATGAAATTCTGAACGCAATGATGCATTTTTTCTGTGAAAAAGCAACTTTCATTTTTTTCGGCTGTCTTTTTCGCACTTGCAGGGAATCCCAGGACCATCGAATTTTTTTTTCAAATTATATATCATTAGATGCAGAATATAATGCTCATTCCAAATATCATGCTAAAATTTGAAGATAAATAAAGAACATGGTCAACTAGCGAAAATATTCGAGTAAAACAAGAATTACAGATTTATTCCACTTACATCAGCAACATTACGTATCTATCCTATGTGGGATAAATTTGGAAAATTTTTTTAAAATATACTTCTTCGAAAAAAACCTTCTTGAAAATCAGGATTTTGGATACAAGTGTTTCAAATATTCTAGTGTGCTAGGCAAAATTTTCATAAACAATCGAATAGAACGCTTAGAAATATGGTTTTTTTTTTCGTCAAGACAAAAATATTTAAGATTACGGATTTACCCAACGTTGGATAAATTCGTAATGTTGATAGAAATCTCAGAAAATCCACCATTACTACCTTCTCGAACCAGATTTCGAAAAACTAACTTCACAGATCAATAGAGAAAAAATTTCTCTACATACTTTATGAAGAAAGTTTTTAAAAATATTATAAAACAAAAAACTTCTATCAATTTAAAACAAGATGACTGATTTTTTATTCTACGTATCAACCTCATCTGACTCTATTCATTTTATCGAGAAAATGAAAAAAAATACAAAAATGGATCAGTTATTTTGACATTATTAAATAAATTCTTATCGAAAACTAGAAGTAGTCTTGATAAAAATTTATAAGTATACTATTATCATCATAAATGCTTTCGGAAAGCAAAAATTGGTCGACGCGAAAATTGATCGAAAATTTTGTAATAAACAAACAAAAGCTTTTTCTTAAATAGCCGTTCGAATTCGGACCTGCATCTTGGAACTGAGGATGAAGGAGAAAGTAAGGTTGAAGGTGTGGGTGAGGATCCGAAAAAGGACGAATTGTAGATGTATTCTTAAGGCATGCAACGTTACTAAAAGAATTAGAAGAACTTGGTTATAGTTTCTAAACTACTGTTGCTTTTTTGGATTTGTCTGTCTTTATTTGTCTAAACCACTATCTATCTCTAGTGTTAGCATTTTAATATAACTAGTTTTATTTCGCTTTTACAATTGATAGTTCGAGTTTCTGTTTAAGAAAATGTTTTTGTTTTTTTCATTACAAAATTTTCGATCAATTTTGCACGTCGACCAGTTTTCGTAGACTCAAATGTTTTATTTATATCGTATACTTTTACGAGTTCTTATATACATGTTATTCATATACTTCCGTGTTTAACATTCAAAAAAAAGCAAAATTATCAAATAACGAAAACAAAAAAAAAGAGACAATCATTATTAGAAATATTCAATAACAATTTCTCCTATATGACGTTGATATATCATATTCATTAAATATCTCCATGGTGTTACAATTACAGAAACAAATCGATCAAATTTCGTCTTTTCAGCATTTCTTTTAGATTTGTATTGTTTGATAAAAACAACGCAATAAATAAATATCTATGAAACCGAAAAACACAAATGGATTATATCTATCACGTACATCTGTTTATAATAATTCGTTGAACATAGTAATAAACTGACAGCCGTTGCATTTCCTAATAAATTTCTAATCTGTATCAGTTCTAAAGCTTCCACAAAATCACCTAAGATAAAAGAATAACCAAAGAAAAATAATGTATATACTTAGGGTTATCCAAAAGTAGTGGCGAAGGTTCTTTTTTTTCTTAGAGAAAGCTTGAAAAAAATTTCTTTTTTTATGAATAGATAGAACGTCTTTCGCTCTATCTTTCTATGCTATTTGATCACTATTAAACTAATATCATAATAATAAAATTTCGATAAGAACTATTTTTGTTGAAAACCAGCCGGTAGTATTGAGATCATAATGAATGTGGTATTTTTGCATTCCACGTTATTATCATATAATATGTTGTATTGAAAAAACAAAATATACCAGAAGATGCAGCGTGAAAAGCTCGACAATTTATAAAGTACCGCTTATTTTATAGTTGTACTTTTTGTTTTTAAAATGAACAAATCTCTGAACTATCAAATTTCGACGTTGCGAAAACGAGACTGTTTTTTTTTCGTAAAAGATGAATTCCGTTTTTCCTATCTCATTTTTTTATTACTTGATATGTTTTATTTTAAAAAGCAAAACACACTGCAAGATGCAGCATGAAGAGCTCTACAATTTACAAAGAACAATGATACAAAGATAAGACAGAAAAAAAATCGAATTCGTTTTTTTTATCAAAAAAAATCTCGTCTTCGCAACGTCGAAACTTGGTAACTCAGAGTTTTATCCATTTTTAAAAAAAAAAGTACAACTATAAAATAAGCGGTACTTTATAAATTGTAGAGCTTTTCACGCTGCATCTTCTGGTATATTTTGTTTTTTCAATACAACATATTATATGATAATAACGTGGAATGCAAAAATACCACATTCATTATGATCTCAATACTACCGGCTGGTTTTCAACAAAAATAGTTCTTATCGAAATTTTATTATTATGATATTAGTTTAATAGTGATCGAATAGCATAGAAAGATAGAGCGAAAGACGTTCTATCTATTCATAAAAAAAAAAGTTTTTTTCCAAGCTTTCTATAAGAAAAAAAAGAACCTCCACCACTACTTTTAGATAATCCTAAGTATATGATAGATATAGAAATAATGATATATCTATATCCCAATCTATATCGACTGAGATATTCAAAACAAAACTTAGATTTCTATATGATAGATAGAGAAATAATCATATATCTATATCTCAATCTATATCGACAGAGATATTGAGAAGAAAACTTAGATTTGTATATCATGGATATAGAAATGATGATATTGTTATATCTCAGTGTATATCGAGTGAGATGTACAGATCAAAACTTTGATTTCTATATCAGGGAGTCAGAAATAATGTAATATACATATCTCGATCTATATCGACCAAGGCATTCAAAAAAGACTTAGATTTCTGTATCAGAGGTATATAAATAATGATATATCCATATCCTATCTATATCGACTGAGATATTCAAAACAAGACTTCGATTTGTATATAATAGATATAGGAATAATGATATTGGTATATATGAATCTATATCAATTGAGATATCGAAAAGAAGACTTCGATTTTTAAAGGAGGCTATGTACTGTAACTTGCATTCTTTGAGAAGTAATTCATCTTAGAGGAAAATTTCTCAGTTCTGTGTACAGTTTGGACGTACATTCTTGCTTTGAGAAGCTACGTTGCAAAACATTTACTCGTGAAGGTAAGAATCATTTTACTAATGCAAATGTCACCAATATTAGTGTAATCGTGGAGATTTTGTTTTTGATATATATTTATTCAAGATAAGAATAGATTGAGGCTGAATTGGCGAATTAGAAATGCCGCAGATGAGATCATACACGATAAGAAAAGAGCAGACGGGATCTGCGTTAGGGTCTATTGTATGTTGTTTTGTTTATGAATCTTATTTGTTTTGATAATATCCGATCTGAGTAATTTAGTCGGTTGTTATAAGTTTCTTAATCTTTGCACGTTACAAGAGTTTTGCTGAGTAGTTACAGTTAGAATGTGATGAAACATTGGAGATAAGTAATGCATTTATGCTTGCACTGATTTTATGTGTAGAGCTTAGAAAAATACTTGTATGCACAAGATTTAATAGGATTTTGTGTAATCCAGCGTCTGACTTTTGACATCAGAACTTAGTCAGTATGTCAAAGTGAGTCATGATCTTGAAGTCTTTTAATACAGAGTTTTGATGTCAGTCAGAGTCTCAAAGTCAGCCACAATCTTCGAGTCTCTCAATACAGAGTCTTGATGTCTCTTTGAGTAACCTAGTATTTCTTTGCTACTCTCCGATTTTCACAGCAAGGCTTGTCATACTACATTCAAATTTTTAGATAAGGAAAGATATAAAAACAAATAAAGATTTTCTCGAGAACAAAGCGCTTCTTTTTGTATTATGAGAGTTCCAATACTTTTTCAAAACAATTTCGCATCACTTGAATAAAACTCATATCATTCGTATCGAGCAACTGTTAAACCTGAAAATTGTACGGTGGAAACATGAAGGTGAAAAAGAAGATATTTGACTGATATTTGGGTTTTTCATAAGATTAATGGGTTTCCGAGCTTTTTTTCGGAAACTCAAAGGTTTTCCAAAGATTCGAAAAACCCTACAAGGTTTTTGAGATAACTTCGGAAACCATATGAGTATTCTGGGAAATGTTTTCACGGATTTCGACACCCAGAAACCCGAACAGGTTTCCAACAGAAAAATATCGGAAACGCAAAGGTATTCAAGCATACGTCTATGGTTTCCGAGAAGATTTTGGAATCGAAAAAGGCTTCCTCGGAAACCTTTCGATTCTCAACAATAGCCCAGGGTTTTCGAGAATACGGATGACCGTTTCCGCAACCGTATTCTCGAAAACCGATTGGTTTTCGGAGGCTCGAAAACCGATTGGTTTTCGGAGGCTCGAAAACGCGGCAGGTATTTTCGGAAACTCAAGCGTCCAAGAACCTTTCCAGATACCTTTTTGGGTTTCCGAAACGGTTTCCGAAGGGGTTTAGGTTTGCGAGAAAACGAATTTTTTTAGAGTGTACTAATATGTACGATATCTTGGCTAAACATGCTCTGATCTGGTTCAAATTTATATCAGTAGTATAGTACTCAGTACTGATTAAGATCCTAGAGTTTGAAGATAAATCGATGCTTCATATCGAAGATACGAATTTGTTTGACATACCGATTGATTATTAAAAAAACAATATGTGCTCTTCGTCAAAGATGCAAGTATTGATTTATCTGATATTTCCAGCACACATTCATTTTATAGATAGCATGCGTGTGGAAATATCATCTTATTTGTCAATGCTTTAGCTAATAAGAATCTGAAGAGTAAATTCGCATACTTTTCGCTATGGAGCTGGTATTGATATGCTAAACTTAATTTTCACAAAGATATCGATATATTGAATGCATATTCCCCCACCCAAAACTCAATCAATTGTTTTACTTTAATACGACATTCGTGTAGAATCGTCGATGATTAGTGCGGACAAAGAAAGAAAATTATATAATGATTTGGTTGAAGAGAAGATAGTACATGAGCTGAAAAAAGAATACCTGGAAGAGCACATATTGTTTTTTAATAATCAATTGGTATGTCAAACAAATTCGTATCTTCAACATGAAGCATCGATTTATCTTGAAACTCTAGGATCTTAATCAGTACTAAGTACCATACTACTGATATAAATTTGAGCCGCATCAGAGCATGTTTAGTCAAGATATTGTATATATTAGTACAGTAGTACAGCAAAACTAGTAACAGTAATAATTGTATATCTCTGCTCAGGAGGCCTGGGAAACCGAACCCTTGTAGGGTGTTTGATAACTAACTGAGGTCTCTCGTTTGGGCATATACTCGATTCAAAAG